GCCAGGTGTGATACCTTAGGAGCCATTAATTACAAGGACTGTTCAAGGATGTTCACTGAGTTAACTGCTTCATTTTTTTAATTGTTCTTGGACAGGAGGGAGGCAATGGGGTTGCAACCTTAGTGGCATCCATTTCCTTTGGACCTGGGGGTAAAACGTAGCTCCCAGCCCCAGGCATTGAGAAATGCCGGGGTTCTGTTCTCAAACCCACCGGTGTTATCAATTCAATTTACTTTTCTGAGGCCTGTTTTTGATGCTCTCACTTTGTTGCTCAGATGTCCAGCTTGCCAAAGCTTTCTGCTCCTTGGAAGCCCCCTTTCCTGTAGGGCTGCCTTGGCCATCTGTGTAGCTGTGGGACTGGGACCGCTGCCTGCCAGGCTGCTGAGAGGACTGTCCTCATCCTTGTCCTCATCCTTGCAGGCTGTGTCCCCCTCCTGGGAGCTAAAAAAAGGCTGTCCTGTGTCACCACAGGGAGTCAGAGCAGGGAAAGGTGGAGGGGGTGAGACCCTGGGGCTGAGTTTAGCACAGGCATTCCCCTCAGGGTGGGGGAAGGCACCTTCTGGGATGAGCCAAGGTCCTGGGGCAGCACCATCCCTGGATGCACAAATAAAGGATGATGGGGATGCCCAGGGCGGGAATTGGGATGTCAGTGGTTAATGGAGCCGACTGGTAGGTGATGGACAACTTGGTCGTGGAGGGGAGCTCTCTGCAGGAGGAGAAAATGGATGGCGGAAAGGCGAGGAGGGAAGGTCTGTGAGGGTCCAAGCAGGTAAACAGGGAAGGTGCTTTCCCAGCAGGCTCGTCCAGAACACTTCAAAGCGGAAAGTTACGGACGCTGATTTGGGAGCAGCAGCTGATTCTGGAAACAAATGTGATAAATACTGGCATGAGGAGGAAAAAAAAAAACCAACAACACAACAAAACAAAAAAAACAAGTTGAAATGCCTGAAGGGCACATCTGCTGCTGCCAGCGATTCTGCAGGAAATGCTCTGAAACCAGGGAGAGGCGAGGAAACTGGACATAAACACGGCTCCCAGTGGAGCCAAATGAAAGCCATGGGCCTGGCAAGTGCCTGTGGCAGTGTGCTGAGAGTTTGGCTCCCTTTCCTTGGCTCTCCAGTGAAGTAGCTGTGTGTGACGTGGGCCCCAGGCTGGCTGTGCTGAATGAATTGCAAAGGGGTTTTGCGTTCTGAACTCGGAAACTCTGCTCAGGAGCCCTTTCTGTCGCTTTCAAGTGCGTGTTTTCAGAGCAATATCTAAAGGGTTTCCAGAGCTGTAGGTCTAAAGCCCAGTCTGTTAGTCTGAAATTTGAATAATTGCGTGGTCATTAAATTTTGCACAAAAAGGAATTGACTCTAAAAGCAGCTGATTATGTTATCACGAT